CTATTCTATTCTATTCTATTCTATTCTATTCTATTCTATTCTATTCTATTCTATTCTATTCTATTCTACTCTACTCTACTCTACTCTACTCTACTCTACTCTACTCTACTCTTCTATATTTACATTATTTATATTTACATTTATATTTCTATTCTTCCCAGCTCTACCACTTACCTCTCAAGGAAAGGTGTTTATAAAAACCCTGCATTTTCTCCATTGGCATGCTGCTTGCTGCAGCTTGAAAAGGGAATGGTGGCCTTGCCGGTCAAGCCTTTGAATTCCAGCTTGGTTCCATTATACAGGGAGAATCCTTAGTGGTTCCCAAGGCTACCTCTGCTCTTTCAGAGGTTGCCACAATCCAAGCGGACGTTTCTTCCTACTCCTGATCAGCCTCTTGAGAGCAGAAGCCTTCAAGGAGGGGATGTGAAAACTGGGCGTCAAACTCGCCCAAGCTTGACTCCTCTGCTGCCAAGGAATGTCCTGGAATATTAAGAGCTCAATTATCCCTGCCAAGAAGCCAGGGGACTGAGGGTCCCCCCCACCCCCAGCAGGAGCCAAAGTCCAGCGTGAGGAAAGATCTCCAACCTTAGGCATGGATTCCAAGATCTTTCCCAACCCTCAGAAAGCTCAGGTTGCCCAAAGATCTGCTGATGGGGTTCCACAGAGGAAAATGCAATCTTTCATTAAATGTCCGGTTTGGCACTGCAACCAAACAGGACAGACACAGACTTCAACAGATAGTTACGACCAGTGGTGGGATTCAAAAATGTTTACTCTTGATTCTGTGGGCATGGCTTGGTGGGCATGGCAGGGGAAGGACACTGCAAAATCCCCATTCCCTCCCCACCCCACTCCACTGGCCTGCTTTCCAGCTCCATTCTCCTGTGCAGGGCAACCAAAGAAGACCCAGCCGATCAGCTGGGACTCAATGGGAGGCAAAGAATAGAAGAGGCGGGACCAAGTCAGAGGTGGTATTAGCTGGTTCTTAGAACCACTCAAAATTTCTGCTACCAGTTCTCCAGAACTGGTCAGAACCTGCTGATTACCACCTCTGGTGAGGACTGCAGAAAAAAAACCAATTGCAACCATCTTGCCTTCTATTGAAGATTTGTAGACTGCACAAACCAGAAAGAGGGCTGAGAAAATATTTACGCATACACACCTTGGAGATAAACTGTTTCAACTCCTTCTCTCTGGATGCCACTATAGGGCATTACATGCCAAAACAATTAGACACAAAATAGTTTCTTTCTCCCCGTGCCATCCCTCTATTGAACATCTCATTCCCACAGCGCTGTTGTTGGCCTGAAGATATTTACCCATCTATTAGGCTGTCTTGCGATTATCCTTGCCATCTGCTCATCTTTCTCGTCTTCACCTCTTTCCTATGAGCTTCTCCTCTTGATATCTATGATTGTCACTTGTTGTTCATATCATATGACTAACGATTGCAAATATGATCTATGGTATATGACCTATCTATATATTGTTGTTTGTATGTACACTGAAAGCTTCTGCACCGGAGAGAAATTCCTTGAGTGTCCAATAACAACTGGCCAATAAAGAATTCTGTCTGTCTGTGTCTATCTATTTGTCTGCCTGTCTGTCTATCTATCTATCTATCTATCTATCTATCTATCTATCTATCTATCTTCTATTGTATCTATCCTATCTATTTTATCTATCTTATCATCTATCCATCCATCCATCCATCCATCCATCCATCTATTCTATCTATTGATCTATCCTATCCTATCCTATCCTATCCTATCCTATCCTATCCTTATCTATCTATCTATCTATCTATCTATCTATCTATCGTATCAATCTATCTATTGTATCAATCTATCTATCCATCCATCTATTCTATCCATCCATCTCCACCCATTCTATCTATCTATCATCTATCTATCTATCTATCTATCTATCTATCTATCTATCTATCTATCTATCTATC